GCATCTTGGTCACTTTATGTAAATTATTAGAGCACCAAATTTTATTATGTAGGTAAAATTGTTTTACTGTCTGTACTGTGTACTGTTTTATATTTTAATCTCGGCATGGCCGTCTGTTAGCCACCCTGAGCCATTTGGGTAGGGCGGGATATAAGTCCCAAATAAATTTTTTTAAAAAGAAATAAAAAATAGAACTGTAAGCTCTGAGTTCCCGTTGGGGAGTGGGGGGGTGTTGGGGGTGCCCTGTTGCCATTTGAGGAGGGGGCTTTTTGCGAGGAGGGGGCTTTCCCCCATCTTTGCTTCCCCTTCCCCAGCCTTCCCTTTCTCTCCCCTCCTTTCCCCTATGGCCGGGCCGGCGCTCACCGGTGCTGCCACAGCACTGTGGATGCTCCCCACCGAGTACCCAGAGGAGCAGGCCCAGGCTGAGCAGCCATGGCAGCGGTGCAGAGCTGGAGGAGCACCACTTTGTCGCCTCAGGCATCAGCCAAGGGGACACGGCGCAGTCCAACGTGGCCGAGACACCTCCTTCCCTCTTTTCCCTCACGCGGGTGAGGCAAAGGCCAGCCGGCATCAGTTGGTGGAGGGGAGAATTGAGCTGAGGCTCCTGGGGCATCCTGCAGGTAGAGCATTGGCTGGGGTGCTTATAGCTGTGGCGGTTGTACTGGCGGCTGCAACTGCTTCTCCTGGCATTCCAAATAGTGCGATGGTGCACGTTCTCCCAGCTCTATTAAGAATGTTCTCTGCTCAGGCGCTGTTAATGCTGTTCTACGTTTTGGCTGTTTTTAACCTCCCCCTTACTTTTTTAAAGCTTTTTAGATTTTTCTGCACACATGGGGAGTGGCCCACGTGTGCAGGGAAATCTCTTTTCCCTCCATGTGCTCCCTGTCTCTGGAAATAAGTATCCACACCACAGGGGCACAGTTGGGAATTAGATATATAGAGAGTTGCTTTCTAAACTAATAAATATTTACTTGTCCATTCATACAGCAAATAAAAATTTAAGCAGAAAATAAAGATTAAAATCTCTGGAAGTTTTAAGTATGGTAACTGGTTTTCTTCATTACCTGTTCTCTGGTATTCAGCTCAGGTCTCCGTGTCATAAGGGAGCCTTTGAGGAGGAAGATGCAGCCCAATAGACCAGAACTCAAGGCCAAGATGGCAACCATGGCAACCATGTATTTCCTCTTAGTGTTCAAAGGATACTCATCCATCACACCCCTCCAACCCAATGAGGACAAATAATGTGTTGTTCAGTAATGGCCCTTCCTTATCCCTGATGCCTTAGGGTGCTCAGCAATTCATTCTTCCTACCATGAGCAACCTGACCTGTTGCTGACAAACTAGTCATGGCCTAACTGCGACATCGACAGATTATCCCATATCCTCTCATGATAATATAGAGGGGGGGGAAGTTTCCGAACAACCAAATCAAGGTAAAAGGTAAAGGTTCCCTTGCTCGAAAGCCAGTCGAGTCCGACTCTAGGGTTGCGGTGCTCATCTCCGTTTCAAAGCCGAAGAGCCAGCGCTGTCTGAAGACATTTCCGTGGTCATGTGGCTGGCATGACTAAACACCAAGGCGCACGGAATGCTGTTACCTTCCCACCGGAGTGGTACCTATTTATCTACTTGCAATTTCTTGCTTTCGAACTGCTAGGTTGGGAGGAGCTGGAACTAGAGACGGGAGCTCACTCCGTCATGCGGCAACTCGGGTCTCGAACTGCTGAACTACTGACCTTCCACAGCCTGCAGTTCAGCGTCTTAACCACTTGAGCCACCGCAGCTCCTTAAACAAATCAAAGGGACCCAAAAAAAACCTCCCGCTTCACCACAAAGTGATAAGTTAGCCCCATGCTCTTTCTAGAGAGGGTGGGTATCTCAGCAGCATACAGAAAATACCTGTACAGGACGGGCAAGAAGCCTCGTTTATAGCTCTTCCGTGGCCATTACTCATTGGCTGGTCAATTACCACCCAGCCAATAAGATTTCATGCCTTATTGAATTGTAGAAGGAGCTGGGGCACCAGCATTCCCAGGCCCAATGGCCTTGAATGAAACTCTGTGAGTACTACAGAGAATTCTTGTTACAAGATATCTCACATTGGTGTGTAGAATGCATCCTTGGTGTTTGGAGATTCGTGTGTGAGAGAAAGAAGCATAGTAGAAAGAGATTTCCGTCACAATGTGTTCTCCCTATGCCAATCACAATTGCATATGTGCCCCAGTAATGCAGACCCATCTGTCTGTAAAGTCAGGCCCAGATCTAGCATGGCTGATGATCGCGTTGTACATAACAAAATACCACGGCTCAAAATAAGGATTGGCTAAAATGTCACCACACAACATTGGCTAAAATGTCACCACACAAACATGTTTTCTCTGGCCATGCAGAGATTTCGTGTGGTAGGGAAAACTCATGACCAGCCTTGTAATTATAAAAATTACTGTGATTCCACTTGACTTCTTGTAGAAGCCCCCAAGCGGCAGTAGCCACTTGGAAAAACATCTGTAACTAAAACTCCTCAATACACGAGGATAACTAGATACCATCTATAAAGAGTCCTGGAAATACATCCTAGAGCTGAGATAGTTAGAGCTTTGCCAATCTCAGTTTGATCTTCTGATCCAAAATACTCCAGATTGGAACTAGAGTCACTGCAGGGCCTACTTAATCTTCATGAGTCCTGTGGATGGTTGCATGTGGTTTCTTTTGAGACCAATGTTGCCAGCAGAAGTACTGGGGTCTGTGCTGGTAACAGTGCAGCTATGCAGGTGGAGGTGGGCTCTGGAGTTGGAAGCACTCAGGTCCATGTTGTTGGTGCTTTTCTTTTTAGTGCTGCCTACTTCTTTCTGTTTGCCTTTGTATACTTCTTCGGATAGCTTCCAAGGAACGGATGAACTGCAGTTCGATAGAACTGCAAATGAGATTATACTTGGGGGATTTGTATCCATTACGTTTGCTGAAATGCCTTCACCCAGCTATACAGAACGTCCACGTTCTTTCATCAGTGGGTAAGATTTTCAACAGGTTTACTTGGCAGGGCAACCAGTCATTTGTAGTGCGTGATAAAGAAAATTCACAGAATATTTTTTTTTGCAATCTTACACCATTTTTATGGTAAAAATGGATACAGGCCTAACTAAGTGAAGTTGTGAAATTCACACAGCAAACTCTCTGTAGGTCTCTGTGAAGGGAAATGTTTCTGACATTTTCTGCAAGGTGACCTATTTTCGTGGGGGCTAAGTGATAATTTCATAAAACTCCAACACTGAATTGTAGTTTAAATTCTCCACTTCATCTATTTTTTGTTTTGTTTGTGGGGGATAGGCAAGTGAAAGAATTATAGAATCATTGAGTTGGAAGGTGCCTCCAGAGTCATCTAGTCCAACCCTCCGCACAAGGCAGAAAATTCACAACTACCTCCTCCCTACACCCCCAGTCACCCCTACTCCATGACCGGAAGATAGACAAAAAAAAAAAAAAACCCTCCAAAATCCCTTACCAAACTGGTCTGGAGAAAATTGCTTCCTGTAAACCTTTCATCTACTCTTTTATCACTGAGTACCTATTGAATGAAACATATGACATTAGATTTGAAAACTGAAATGATTACTACATCTATCATTTTATGATCATAAATACTATCTTTAAAAGAAATTCTAACTTTTTCAGTGAATTTGTGCTTTCTGCACCTTTAAAATGTCTCCGTGCAGGAACAAACACCCCCTCTCTTCCTGTTTTAGTAGTCACTGTTCCAATTATCTTTTAAAACAATCTTTTTGCAGCCCAAAACTTAAAAACTACCAACATGGGCTAGCCTTCGTGTTTGCCATTGATGAGATTAACAAGGATTCTAAGATACTACCTAATATTACACTGCAAGCTGAGATCTATGACAACTATTTTGATGAAATTATAACCAGTAGAAGCACTCTGGATCTACTCTTCACTCCACCCAGAAAAGTCTCCAATTACAATTATGTGAAGGAAGAGAAGGTATTGGCTGCCATTGGTGGACTCACTTCCCAAAACTCCATCCAGATGTCCAACATATTAAATATCTTCAAGATTCCACAGGTAGGTTTCTTATGGGACTTAAGAATGTGAGGAGAGCCTGTCTTCAAACAAGCCATCAATAATGCTTCTCCATCTGTTTAGAAATCGCCTCTAATGTGAACCTTGACTATAGAAGCTTACTTTACATAACATCTTGTGGGGTTTTTTTTAACAATTTTTATTGAACTTTTTTACACATACAGAAACAAACACATACACAAACCACTGCCCACCACCATACCACCCTATTACAACTATTTTCTTTCCCATGTCCCCTTAATCTTGTTATTGATTAGCCACATGATCTGTTAATCTCTCTGTTCTCACAATCACCAGCTAACCCTTTCTATTGTACACACCTGATCTGAATTAATTTCCATCCATATATTTCCACCTAAATTACATATTTCACATCTTTTATTCTGCTAGAATATTATTATCCAATTAAGTTAATTAAGAAATTCATACGACTGTTATATTTAATCAATGTCTGTCCGCAAAATCTATTTCCCCTTAAATCTATTACAGAGTATCCCAAACTCAGATCTTTTAACAACCACCTATCACTTCCAATACTCAAATTTCAATATTCTCCTAATTAACAAGCTCAAACCTATAATCACATAAGAAAGAATCACAAGAATAAACATATATTCACAAAAGAAATAATAGCCAATATATTCCTATTTAAACTAATATTGTAAAATATTCATTTCCTATTATATTTCCTGTTGTATTTCCCATATATCTAAAGCCATCATTGACCTACAATCAGATACTATCTTCCATAAAGTAATATGAAGTGACATTATAATCTTTTCCCTTTCTACTTAACATTTCCTCTTAAGGTTATATTAAATCAGCAAACCTATTACACATTTCTATGCATCCTCCTTACAATTGTACTATTCTTAGGGAGTGCCCATAGCTTGCCTCAATATCCTACAACCAATCATCATCACTCCTAGTAATAGCATTTTATTGTGGTTTTTTCTTTCCCCATAAGTTTATATTAAAGCAGCTAACCCATATTACACAATTCTGTTCGTCTTCATTACATTTGTACTATCCTTTAAATTTGCCCATGGCTTACATCAATGTCTTACAGCCACTCCTTATCACTCCCAGTAATAGCGTTTTGCTGTAATTCTTTTCTGCTTTGATTTTTCCTGTTTTCAGTTAAATGTCGTTGATCTTTGTAAACTTTGTCTCTTCTCTGTTCTGTTATGTCCCAATTCACCTGTTTGGTGTTAAGGTTTTTGCCTTCCTTAAAGTCTTTCTTCCACTTTTTCCTCCTTTTTCTATTCTTTTTTCCTCTGTATGCAGGGTTTAATATCTTGTGTTTTTAATGTAATTACCATATGATTGAATTCAAGGAAGTCATTGTGTTGGATAACATACTTTTTGCTTGAATACCAATGAATATTTTTCACTTGTCTAAATTTTTGGTGTCTCCTGCTAGCTCAGTTATGGATCCTTTGACCCACGGCTGAGTGATCAGATTCAGTTCCCATCCTTCTATCGAATGGTGCCAAATGAAAATGCTCAATATATTGGGATTGTTCGCCTCCTGAAGCATTTTGCGTGGACTTGGATTGGCCTTCTTGTGTCAGATAATGAGAGTGGAGAAACTTTTCTGAGGACTCTCATTCCTCTACTCACCCAGAACAGCATTTGTGTTGCATTTCTGGAAAAGACTCCAACACTGGCTTTATCCAAGGATACAGAACCCCTTCAGAAAGCATTTAAGCCAATACTTGCTTCTTTTTTAACCAAGGCCAAAGTGATTCTTGACTATGGAGACAGCAACTTTATTATGCTTTTACAACGGATTCTAGAAAAAAATCACCTGTATGAAATGTTTTGTGGAGAAAAGGTTTGGATCAGAACACTTCAGTGGGATTTTAATAGTGTGGCTTTTGACCAGACAGCCCCCTTAAAATCCTTGAATGGCACCTTGTCCTTCATGCTCCACACAAATGTGGTGCCGGGATTCCAAGACTTTCTTCAGAAACTAAATCCCTACAAGCGTATGTATTCTTTCCTCTATATACTCTGGCAGTTGCTATTTAAATGTAACTTCCAGATATATCATCCTTACAGAGAAGAATGCACTGGGGAGGAAAAACTAGAGAGCCTCCCGGCGTTCGTATTCGAAATGAGAATGTCTGGGCAGAGCTATAGTATCTACAACGCTCTCTATGCTGTAGCACATGCTCTCCATCTCATGCATTCAATGAGAACCCGACTGAAGGCAAAGGGGCATGGGGGCACACTGAATCTCCTGAATCTTCATCCATGGCAGGTAGGATCTTCCGCTGGCATCAGCTTAATATATTGCCTCATATGTTAACAGAATGAGTCCATTGGCTGGCTTCCGTTTTCCTCTTCATGCTATTAGGGTTATCTGTAGGAAACCATCTTCAGTTTAACCCAAAAGTAGTATTTCTGTGTTTGCCCATCTGAAACTATCCCAACAGGCTTAATTAAAGAGCTTTTTAAAGGAATCCTCTGCATACCATGGCACTATACACAAATCACTTTGCGTCTCTGAACGGGGAATGACTAACTTCTGAATCTGCCAAAGCCTCTCTGTTCCCCTGAAAGTCAGTGTCCAAAGAGAACTGAGAGGTCTGGTTTCTGGATGATGGGTTAGATCCATCCAGCTTTTCTGCTCATGAGAAAGAGAGGAGGGTTCCTCTTTGGCAGCCTGAAACCCCTATGCTGGGGACTGAGGGATTGGCATGAGCAAAAGTCATGCAGGATGGGGGCTGTAAAGTAGATGAAGTGGGTGTGAATAAGTGAAGTTGGCTGGATCCCACCTAAAGATCTTGAGACTTCCGGCACCTCTTTTTCAAAAAAAAACAAAAACAAAAAAGCCTTGAATTTACCACTTACACAGTATAATCTGCCTTGAGTCTCAGTGAGAAAGGTGGACAATAAATAATGTAACTAAATAAAATAAGTGGCAAGTGGAGACTTGTGGTAAAAGCTCAGCTCAGCAGATTAAAGACAGAGATTGTTAATTCCATCACTGGCCACAGTCAGTGAACAGAAAGGTGGCTAAAATGTTTTAAATACTGTTTTAAATGAAGTAAGACTTGCAGTAATTCACTACAGGGATTGCTAATTCAGTTTCCACCAGTGGGCATAGTCTGTAATCACTTTTCCCCCCTCCAACCTAGCTTCACTCCTTTCTGAAAAATGTTCGCTTCAACAACAGTGCTGGGGAAGAAATATTTTTTTATGGAAACGGGGAGCTGGCAGCTGGTTGTGATATCATAAACTGGGTCACGTTTCCCAATCAGTCCTTCCAGAGCATCCGGGTTGGATGGGTGGACCTCCAAGCTCCTGAAGGTGAAGAATTCTCCATTGACAAGGACCTCATTGTGTGGAAGCAAATGCAACACCAGGTGGGAATTACAGTTGTTTTCCTGGCAAGCTGTACTATGAAGCTACCACTCCCATCCCCTCCAGCTGAGATTTCTAATGTCTGGCATCCCAAACATGGCCAGTTAGAATCACCCACATTTCCACCGTGACCCTGACAATCAGATGTGAACATTAGAGACATAACTCATCATGTCCAAAAGACACCATGGGCAGAAATGGCAAATGCTGTTTCCTTGTAACCTGGATAAATGCAGACATTTCATGTAACCAGTCTTCTGGACTTCAGTTCCTTTGACCCTATGCTTGGTCATCAAACATAACTCATGATCAGCATTCATGAGCCACAAATTGCACAGGCCTACTCTGGAGCACAAGACAGAGAGACCCTGTTTTTCTCTTTGTGATTTCAAGAATCTACATGATGAGTTCACTGTCCAATGACCTGAGCAGCCACCAAAGGAAGGTGTGGGTTGCATCCATTGTCACCTCCTAGGTCTGTGTTTCCAGGATCAAAGACATGGAGGCTGCATCTACCCATCACAAGTCTTAGTGTTCATTGGAAACAACACAAGGAGTTTGCAAGCACACATTCAATGGGAGTTTTGTGCCTTTCAGATGTACACAGGATCTTGGTTACCACAAGATGCAGGGAGAAGTGGCATTAGCTTTCCCCCCCCTCCTCCACATAGGGTCGCCAGCTGTGGGTTGGGAAATACCTGGGCCTTTTGGAGGGGGCGCCTTAAAGGGATGGGGTTTGGGAATGGGACTTAAATGGGGTATCATGCCATGGAGTCCACCTTCCAAAGTGGTCATTTTCTCTCGGTGAACTGATTACTGTTGGCTGGAGATCAGCTGTCATGGCGGGCTATCATGGCGGGAGATGGCAACTCTACCTCCACGTCATGCCATGGAGTCCACCATCCAAAGTGGCCATTTTCTCTTGGTGAACTGATGACTGTTGGCTGGAGATCAGCTGTAATGGCGGGAGATGGCAACTCTACCTCCACGCTATTGGCTTCATTGTGAAAATCGTGTTGTTTATGGGGCGAGATGCAAGTTTCACAACAGAGCTAATAGTAGCTCCACGGGGTGGTTTGAGGACAGAAAAGTGCCTGGGAGGGGAAGGCTAAAACCACTTCTTCTTCTTCTTGTGGTCACAACCAGCAAAGAACCAGTGCGTGTCTTGGAGGCACAACGCTCCTATCTCACGTGTGATGCCAAGTCCTCAGGTTGTTCTCCAACAATCACATAAGGACTTCTGACGTGCAGATGGAGCCTTCTTGACATGCACACCTGAAGGTAGGCAGTCCCAACAGCCCTGGTTCTTGGCATGACGCAAAGGAAGGGCTTTTCTGGGAAAGTCCATTCTCCGTTACGGGATTCAGGCAGCAGATTTCCCTTTCTACGCACACCCCAGCTCAGTCAGGGTGCCCTTGCGTTCAAAACGTCCCTTTTTTCTTTTTAGATGTCTCCCCCCCCCCTTGTCCTGCACAATTTCATTTTTATTTTTTTATTTCATTTTCTAAGGTGTGAAAAACAGATTTGCAAGGGGTAACTAAAACTCCCCTGGTGCTTTGTAAAACTGAGCACATGTGAAAGCCTAACATAGCCAAATGTAAATAGCAGTCAGTGGTGGTGGTGGAAAGTGCCATCAAATCACAGCCAACTTATGGCAACCCATTTCGTGGGGTTTTCAAAGAAAGAGACTTTCAGAGGTGGCTTGCCATTGCCTGCCTCTGTGTCACGGCCCTGGTATTCCTTGGTGGAACACATTCCTTTTATGCAATACACGTGCATAAAGTCCAACCATTTTGTGCTTTGTGTCGTGTTGGGAGTGAGTACAGCAGCTCCCCGAACCACTAGGAATGAGTTACAAGCAGTCGACCTATCGAAGATTTGTCTGCCTGGCCACAACTGGTGATCAGGATGCAATCCAAACCACCTGGTATTTGAGCATCTCTGCTGGCAGTGGAGTCCCGGTTAGAACTCGGATGGAAGACCACCAAGGAAGACCAGAGTTACTATGCAGAGGCAGGCAACGAACGGCAAACCTTCTCTGTTCATCTCTTGCCTTGAAAACCCTACATGGTCTCCATCAGTCTACTGTGACTTGACAGCCCTTTCTACCACCGCCACTGGCAGTTGGTCGCCCAGGCTCCCTAGAAAAGAAAAGAAAGATCTTCCCCAGTATGTAGCAGCACCAAATGCTTCTGGAACCTTGAACCTTCTCCCTGCAAAGGACGTACTCTCCCGTTGAGATACTGACAAGGGATGGGAGGTGGAATTCAGCATTCTGACTCAGTGAAAAGAAAATAATCTCTTTCTACCTCCTGGCTCCATTAGACTCAGCCCCATTCCACCTGCGTCGAGAGCTGCCAGCCTGGGTACAGCAAAACAGTTCGGGAGGGGGAACAGGTTTGCTGCTATGATTGTTCTCCGTGCCCTGGAAGGACGATATCAGTCCAGAAAGGTAAATAAAATAATCCAACGCATGCTGGTTATGAGGACGGCACATCAGCTGTCAAATCTTATCGATTGATTTGTTTGTTTCTTTGTTTACGTAATTACAGTCTGCCTGTCTCACTGGGACTCAAGGAGCATTACACAAAGTGAATCAGTGCAACCAACAAGACGGGGCATTCAGTAAACAGAGCAGTTGAATTAGGATTGTAAAAATCTGGAGTCAGCCAGAAATCTAAAGAGAGAACTAAACCAAAGCTTAAATAGAAACTTAACACATTAAATGATGCAAAATTACATAGCAGGATCCTACTTACAGCAAGCTATACACAGTAGGCCCCGGTCACACGGCAAACTTGCCGCGGGAGAGGCACGGATGGTGAGCGGATTATCTGGGCGCGATCACACCCCAACATCTGGGAAGTGGAGCGCACCCGTGGCTTACTGCCGACAATGCGAGTTAAAAAACTAGTACCTCCAAGGTACTAGTAAACGTTTGCCACGAGCTGCCTCCAGACCCCCGTGGTGTGATCGCACCGGCGTGCGGCATTCCCCTCCGGTCCCTCGTTTACCCGCCAGCGCCAAGGAAAGGACCGGTGGTGTGCCGCCAGCGAGTCTGATCACATAATCGTGGATCAAACTGCGCCAGGGCAATTAGCCATGCCTCCCCCCGCGATATCCAGCCCGTCTGACCGGGGCCACAGTATAGATAATTATTTATCCAAGTAACTTTGTGAATCATTCTGTACAGGGAAGCCCCTCTTGAATAACCCCTCTTGAATAACTAACTTTTGTATAGTGTGCAGAAAGCCAGGAGAGTGGGAGTATTCCCTCAGCAGGTAGGCCATTCCATAAGAATGGAGCCACAACAGAGAAGTCACCCACGTTCAGGCAGTGGTTGATTTTGCCTATAAGGTCTCTTGGCGGCTGCTCCATCTCAGAATCCATCCAATGCTGATTACGTCTTTCAGATAATGTGAAGATACTCTATGCTACTTCATGTCATGTATCAATACTTGTCAAATGCTGTCTGCTGCATGTTGGGGGGCAAACACTGGATTCCATTTTTTTATAAAACTTATTACTTAACCTGTGTAAAATTGTATGAAGAATGCTGTCCGGTGTTTTTAAATTATTTAACATAAAAACCTTTGAGATCTGTGGATTAAATATATGCAGATAACAATAGCATAAAATGATAGACGCCAGGGCACTTTAAAACATGCATGTTCTTTTAAATAAGTCCCATTACTACGAGACAGCTAGGAGAAACACAATCCAGGTCCACCAGATTTTTTTTTTACTGAGACCTTCATGTTGTACCCTGGGGAATTTTAAAATTTTTAATTTAATATGTGTTCTTTTCTGAAGCAACCCATCATTCCATGCTTAGAGATGACATGATTGGTTGCTGCAGTGAGGATGAATGAAGCCTTGTTTGGATCACACGAACCGTAGTGCAGTTTTTGCGCTGTGTGTGTTGTTTTCAGATGCAGATCACTGCAACAGCTGCCCAGAAGATCAGTATCCGAACAAGAGCCAAGATCAATGTGTCCCCAAATCCAAGGCCTACCTATCTTACAGAGAACCCGTGGGAATGGTTTTGGTTTCCAATGCTGTTTTCTTCTCTGTAATCACTGGTGTGGTGATGAGGAGCTTCATTCAGAACCGCAATACGCCCATTGTCAGAGCCAATAACTGGACCATCACCTGTACTTTGCTCTCTTCCCTCCTGCTCTGTTTTCTGTGCTCCTTCTTCTTTATTGGCCAGCCAGGAACAGTCACCTGCCTTCTCCGACAAACACTTTTTGGCATCGTCTTCTCTGTTGCTGTGTCTTCTGTCTTGGCCAAAACCATTACGGTGGTTCTGGCCTTCATGGCCACCAAGCCAGGAAGCAGGATGAGGAAATGGCTTGGGAAGAAACTGGCAGTCTTCCTCATCATCCTCTGTTCACTTATTCAAACTGGCATCTGTACTGTGTGGTTGACAACCTCTCCACCCTTCCCAGAGTTTGACATGCATTCCCAGAGTCATCAGATTATAATACAGTGCAACGAAGGGTCTGTGATCATGTTCTATCTTGTCCTGGGCTACATGGGGGCTCTGGCCATCATCAGCTTCACTGTCGCTTTTCTCGCCAGAAAGTTGCCAGATACTTTTAACGAGGCCAAGCTAATCACCTTCAGCATGTTGGTGTTCTGCAGTGTTTGGGTGTCCTTTGTCCCAACTTACCTGAGCACCAAAGGGAAATACATGGTGGCTGTGGAGGTCTTCTCCATCTTGGCCTCAAGTGCTGGACTCTTGGGCTGTATCTTCCTTCCTAAATTCTACGTAATTACAATGAGACCCGAGCTGAACTCCCGAGAACAGTTCATAGGGAAAAAGAACTATCACACTTAATTCAATGTGTTTGGGAGGTGGACTGCCTTTTTCCTCTGTACTTGACTAATGACTGTACTTGTCTTGACTAAATTACAGCTCCAGAAATTCCCGGTTCACAATGTAGCTATACCTTAAACTCAGCTGCCATCTATAACCTGAAGATAATATTACTGGTCAGGTTGTTGTAATGATTGCAACTTGTGAAGTTCTTTGAACACTTGAATTATTATGCGGCATGCCTTCTGAGATTTAAAGTCTTCCTTCTAATCCCAAATTAGTGTTCTGGTTTTTGAATTAGCTTTGAGAAGATACTCCACTCAATCAGAGGCACCTTTCTCCAGGACCTTGCAGGGCTAGGTTATGCAACCATGGCTGATCCCTAACTTAGCAACTCAGATGTAAGAATTTGACTACTTCCCACCGAGGTATTCTTTCCTCACTTTCTAGCAGGCAGAAGTAATTTTGCCCATCACTTTTTAAAAAGAAACATGAGACTCCTATTTACCCAGGGAAGTTAGTCCTGATAAAGTCCCACCAACTGAAGGGGTAGAGTATGGAAGGAGCACTTGTGCCGGCTCCCCCTTTGTGAATCAGACAATTGTGAAGACTTTTCCATGCATTTTTGAATAATGTGGGATCGCCTGGTCAGCTAAGGGGGCCAAGAAGGAATCTTCTTCTTCTATCCCAACTGACCAGGAACAGATCATTTTCTTGTCAGCTCCACATTGCTCTTTGGCTCGGGATGGATTAAGCTGGGCCTGGCCTTTCACTGTTTAGTCAAGGGTTGCTAGGTGTCTGGCTTGGAACCAGACAGCACTGTTATTGGCCCCCTTTTGTCCAAGAACAGAATTGATGCAACAGAGCCCTCTTCTAGGAGAGGGTGCCCTGCGAGGGTCTGGGTGACTTCTGTCTAGAGGCTAGCCTCAGCCTGCCCTGAAATGTGGGCCTGGCTTGTTACATGTTGGGCCAAACTGTGGCTGGAGAGTCTCCATAGCCCTCTTGGGATCTTTTCATGGATCATTATGTCAGCCATCTCTCCTCTGCACACTCACACATATTTTTCTTTCCTCTGCCTTTGGGTATTTTAAAATTATTTGTCGGTTGCTTAATCCCAAAGACAAGCAGCAATGTTGAAATGATCCTATGCCTCATGGCTACAGGCCAACCCTCCCCAGATTTTGTCAAAATAAACAATGATCGAACATGAACCCTTGACCCCTTTTCTAATGGACCAACGGGTATTTGTTGTCGAAGGCTTTCACAGCCGGAGTCCATTAGCTGTTGTAGATTTTCCAGGTTATGTGGCCAGACAACCTGGAAAATCTACAACAGCTAACCAACTGATATTTTGTCCAGAATGGGGGCAAGGGGCAGGTGGAGGCTGGTCAGTCCGGAATGGCTGGAGAGCTCGTACGTTAGCCAATGAGAGAAAGTTAAAAATGGGATAGAGCTGTTAGGGGGTAAATACTGAAAACAAGGAATAATAATAATAAAAATTAAGAAATATATCTTTATAACTAAAATACAAATGTTCAAAAATAAGATAAAAATTTATATTGGGGTAAAGGAAAGTTTTCTTAGTATTCTGTGATGAGAGAGTAAGGTTGACTATGAGGAACGGTCAGGTTTATATTGCTAGAGACTGTAGATAAAACTGTCTATTAATGGATGGATGTAACACTTTGAGAATTTTTTTTGGGGTGGAGTGATAGGAAATAGGTAATTATAACTATTTGTGCTGTTGTCTAGAATAGGTGGTTTGTAATATAAGGTGTTAATGGAATGAATTGTGTAATTGGTAATTATTATTGAGATAAGCATTGTTGTGAAAAATCAATAAAAATATATATTTAAAAAATGATCAGGTAGGTATCAGGTTTGGAACATGGCCACTGAACAAGCAACAGGAATGAGGTAACTTTGTATCATTATAAACAATAGATAGTTTGTTACAATCAGGTAGCTGTTTTGTTATACAGACAGGTCTTTAAAACTGTGGAGAGATTTCTTGGCTGTCACTGCTTAAATGAACAGGCATAAGCTTCTTTGTCTCAAAATTACTTAAGTCTGTGAAGGCAGGAACATGCACACAAGCTCCAATTTCCCTTCTTAAACTCTTGATTGGGATGACCCCCTTTTACTAGGAGATATTTCCCTCAGGGAGGGATTACTGGTTCCACTTCCCTGATCCAGGATCCTCTCACAATCCTTCACTCTTCTTAACAGAATTTAACTCTTCTGTCACCCTCAGCTGTCACTCTTAACTGTAGAATTTCATTTGAATCCCCTGTCACTCAAGGTTTGCAGATGAGGGTAACACATTAACCATTCGCTGCCCATTACATAAGTTTACTCAGCAGTCATTGGTGAGGTACCTTGTCAAAAGCCTTTTTACGAAGGTCCAAGTATTTAGTGTTTATCAGCAATGTTCCCGCTAAGCTGTGGAGTCCTGTGAGCAAAAATTCTACTTTGTGAGCTGCTGGCATTAAAGTTGTGAGCGAGCGATTTGGCTACTGCATGAATTAGCTTGCTCTGGAGCCATCCTTCCTGAGCTGAGACAAAAATGTGTGAGCCGGAGGCTAAAAAACTGTGAGCTAGCTCACACTGACTCAGCTTAGAGGGAACACTGTTTATCAGGTCATTGTTATCTACATGCTAGTTTGTCAGAGAACTCCAAAAGGTGGGTTAGGTAGGATTCTCCCTCAACAGGCTTTGTTCCTCTACAAGTGTAAATAATTCTATCTTTGATTACAGTTTCTACTAATTTGCACGGGACAGACATTATGCTAATTGATTCCCCTCTGGATTGGTACTCTCCAATCTTCTAATTCAATGATTGATTTTAGCAATAAAGTTACATATGCGGGTTAGTAGATCATCAGTCTCACATTTGAGTTCTTGGGCACATGTCATCAGGATCTGGAGACATTGGTTTTTGAACTTCAGGTATCATCACCTCAATTTGACTCAGTTCTGCAGGTGACCACTGATCTAAATTTATATTATGCCCAACATTTTGTGCCCATTTAATCATAGAGCTTTAACTATTTCATCTTGTGATTTATGTTCCAACATTAATGCATACAAATTTTTAATCAATTTTTCCACAGAACATAGCAAGATTTTATGTACTTCAATTATTTTTAAACAAAAACATGTTTGTTTAACTTTGGTGTATCTTGATTGAATTTGTACTATCTCCCACCAGCTAAAATCTGAATTTAAGCTTTTGATGTTTGCAACTGATTTTAACTCATTTTTATTGTCCAAGCGTTCATCATATCTTAACAAAGGGGCCTTGACAGCCAATTTGAAGGACTGTCTACATCCATTTGTCCTCTGCACCAATGACAGTCTTCAGGGAGCCGTCTACTGGCTTTCTCAACACTTAGGGTGGCCAGTCTAATACTGCCCAGAGCTCAGTCTTCTCTGTCATGGTCCTGGCTCTGTGGAAGGGGCTGCCTGAAGAGGAGAGGGAAACCCCCTCCTTAGACATCTTCAGAAGGTGCTGCAAAGCCTTCTTTTTTGCCAGGGCGTTGG